ATGAGATTTAGATACATATACACTTAATCCTACTTGCAGTATGATAATAACATATTTTTTTGCATTTCTTTAGATCCAGCTAAGCTTGCTTCAGTTATTACTGAGATTGTTGGAAATGTTTTTGTTAACGAAGAAGAAGTAAACAGGCCATTTAGCTTGGCTTCAAAAAGGCAATTTGCAAAGGTATAGAAGATCAGTTTCTTGACTAGTATTTTTGAAGGATGCACAGAATAAAGCCCTTGTTAAAGGTGGTATAACATAACCCTTTGACCCATAAGAGTGACTAGCCTCTAATTTCTTGGTACAATATCATTCCTGGATCAAATATAAGGTCACGAAAATAAAGGAAACAATCACCAACTAATAAAGCACTTGATTTTTAAACAAATTTGATTATTTTCTTTTAAGGACTCTGTGGAAAGTATGCGAGCACAGAAGTCAACAACAGGTTGGAAGTTACTTTAATTTATACAATAATAGCCCACTGTAATGAAAATATCTCTAATGGTTATAACTATTGTCTCTAAATTTATTCTAAAATAAGCTATTTCCAGTTTTTGCTCTTTAGTAAGTAGCATCACAAATTAAGGAAAGTTACCACTCCTATCAAACATAATTTTATTTGTTCAAAGTATCATAACTAATACAGCATCTGATAACAGGCACTTGTTCATTGAAAGGTTTTCAGGTTTCCTTCACACTTTTGAACTCTGATCCAGACTCAGTCCTGACTGAATGGGATATAGAGTCTGCTGTTCAAAGTGAGTAATATGTAAAAAAGAAACCTTTTGTATATGCAATTTCTTTTTCTCTCTGTCTCTCTCCTTTGTTTTGTTTCTTAGAACTACAAGGGTACTCTCAATTAATTTCTTTCTTTTCTCTTTTATTATCCAGAGTATTTGGATCCCTTCCTGTTGAATTTTCCACATTTGGATATAACTGTAGATTCTCAGGTGGACAGAAGCAGGGCCCAGTTGTTCAAAGGGTTATAACACTTTCCAATGGATAAATTGCTATCAGGCTGATAAGTGTTGAAAAAATGTTCTGGGCTGTCCATTAGGAAGAGATCTATTCAGTGGTTAGTGTTATTCACCCTTTGAAGAATGGGGGCTAGTCCTTTCCAAAATAATTAATCATGGAATTTGTCTTTTGTTGTTTGAATTTTAGTTGTGGTCATTAGCATACACTAATTCAGTGAATGTTGCCATTTCAGGTTTTGCATTATAGTAGCCTTCAAATTAATCCTAAAAAGGATGGTGAAGTTTACTATCTTCACTATGATGACTTACCTCATATGATAAATCCCATAGAAGGCAAACTTGGTATGAGTTACATTTGTTGACACATTTTTACAGATTTATTGCCCATTTTAATTGCTCTAAGGCTGTGGACTGCTAGACAGAGGCTGGTTTTATATTCAGAGCAATTTGTAATTATTTTCATTGATATTTTTCATGTCATATTTGCAGGTTCACATATTTCTTTATATCCCAGTTTAAACTTTGTGGTGTATGTCCCGTCTAAGAAGCATTCACCAATTTACATGAAAAATAAGGATGGTGAGACCACATACATATTAGTTCTTTGTTCTTTTAAATCATTTATTTCCAAGGAGTGATCGGCAAATAATTTCTCCTCATGATATCAATGAATTGTTGAGCAGTAAGGTGCTGAGAAGTGAGAAAAATGTCATATCAAGGTTGTTGTTTGATCCTACATCAAGTTCGCAGAGCTTGTGTCAAAAAATGTGTGTTGCAGACATCAGGGAGAATTCTATTGAAAACGTGGGTGTGAAAAGTTTCTCATAAAAGAATCTTATTAACTTAGATTTAAAGGTTTAGTTTGACTGTTATTTTCTTTTGTCATCTCAGGATGTATTTTTTTTAGATGAATCTAGTTAGCCAGGAGCTTTGCCTGAAAAACTTCTAGATTGTTAATGAAAACAAAAAGGTGTTTCGACAGGACTCAACAACTGCTTGTTGCCTGCTACTTGTTGAAATCACAGGTGGCTCAAGCATATTGAGCAAGTTGAGGGATTTCTAGAATTAGCACACGATAGTTTCGTATTGATAAACCTAGGTCGTCACATAGGCAGTCTTCTTAGAAATCATCTCCTAAATTCCTGGATGGTAAGAATTTTTTCAACACTTTTTCTGCAGGCGAGCTGAGCAGTAGCAATGCATTCATGAGTCCACAGTGGGGTGGCATCACGATTTACAATCTGCCACGGACCACGTCGACGAATAACACCAAACCACAACAGATGACTGTGGAGATGAAGCCAGTCATGAAAGTCTTCCTATCACAACTTAAATTGTTACTGGGAATGATGCCTGTGGTAAGAAGCAGTGGAACTTTTAACTGTTTTAGAGTACGAATCTGGGAATGCTTCCAATATGATTGTGAACGAGTAATTTACCCATGTGGTACGGCTGCAGAACGTTTCGTAGAACAAAGAGAAGTTGGAAGTCTTACGGTACTGTCTTAAAATAGACGCAGGTGTCTGAAGTCGGGCGGTACTGTTCGAAAACGGACGCAAGTTTCCGAAATCAGACAGGACTATCCGAAAATTGACGCAAGTTTCTGAAATCGGACAGTATTGTCCGAAAACGGACGCAGTTTTCGAAGTCGGGCGGTACCGTCCGAAAATAAACGCAAATTTCCAAAACCGGATAGTACCGTCCGAGAATGAACACAGGTTTCCGAAATCGGACCGTACCGTCTGATACGCACCCATGTGGTTATAATTCAGAGACACTGCAGACAAGGTAGCACCTGAGGTTTACGATACGGTTAGATCTTTTTCCGGCAGCATGATTGCCGTATGATCACCGGCACTTAAATAAGGCTTTTCTTACTATTAAGATGTTCTCTCGATTCTTCTCTTTGTTTAGAATCCTCCAAATGGTATCGAAATGAGAGTCGCTGATGATGCTGGGGTCGCAAGATGGGTAAAGTTGTTGCCTATTTTGTTCTTTTGTTTCCTCTTTAACTCGAAAATTACATGGAGACGCTTTTGGAGTGTTTGAGAATGTGAAGTTTCTTTATTAGGGTGCTAACTTTAATTCTGAAGAACACCTATTTTTGCTTTAAGTCCTGTTGGCAAAGGTTTTCAGTTTAGCTGTTACCTTATATAGAAACGGGAGAAGCGCGTGCAGTGCGTGGGCGCGCAAGGACATGGAGATAGGCCACGCTCCGTTTTCGCTTCTCTCTCTTGAGTGGAAGGAACCAAGAAGGCCTGCAACACAGGCCAGGTCTAAAAACTGTTTGGGTTGTAAAGGAGTACTTAGGACTTTTGAGAACATGTCTATCATTTACTCTGATAGCCTCATTAGCAGACCTAAGGTAAACCATTTTCGTTAATTACAGGAACAAGAGTCGCTGATGAGGCTGAAGACAATGGAATATTTAGCAACTTCTACGATCACGTTGACGTCACTCGCACAGCTCCTCGGGAAAATCAGCAACATGGTGATCAATGATCACATTCAGCAACAAATCGAGCAGGCCCTGGGTTCCATTCATCAGGTATCGCAATCTACTTGAATGAGAGAACTTGAACTTTGACAACTTTTTTAAAATTTATAGATTATGTCGACCTAGATAAACAAAGGTTCTAGAGCAGAGAAAGAATCTGATATGCTAAGTCCTGGACTGAATTGGAATTGACCCAGTTCCGTACGTTTTTCAGTCTACAACAGCTCTTCAAGAGGGAAACGTGACTGCAGCAGTCTTTGCAGCCAAAAGTGCTATTAGATCTTCAGGTTAGTACATTTTCCGAAACGTCCTTAGTTTCTTTTCTCTTAAATCGTTCGTGGAAAGTTCCACGAGATATCCTTAGCTGTTCACTTTATTTCCCAGTAATCAATATATTTCGGTGTTCCTGATCGTTACATCATGCTTTCTCTTTCAGAGGAAGCATTTTTTGAACCATCAATACTGGAGCTGTTGTACTTTCCAGACGATCAGAAGTAAGCCTGACCTTTCAACAATTTGTCACTAGTATGTTATGTTAGGGAGATCGCCTTGTGCGGTATGGGAATCTATTACTGCTTCGGTAACATTCTAGACGTATTTTCACAGTTGTTCAATTTTCGATAGACTCAGTCAGAGATTTGATGTCGGAGAATGAAAAGAAAAGAAATGAAGTAAAAATTGTCAGGACTAATCAACAGAGGACATTACATTTAACTTTGAAAATCATCTTTTAGGCCTGGGGAGAGGGGTTTTGATGGAGCACGGTGATTTAAAGAACGGGGGGGGGGGGCTGCTTTTTCATTGAGCTGTATTCTATAAATAGTCTGTTTTGTAATTTTCCCTCAGGTACGCCATATATATTCCGCTGTTTCTACCCATCAGTCTACCTATTTTCCTGTCGTTGAGGCAGGCAGTGAAATGGTACAGAGGACAAGACAATGAAAACAATGAAGACAAGAAAGACGAAGACAAGGATAAGCAAGATTGAAAACAGCTCTGAACCAAAAGAATAACGAAGATGACGGGCTGGGACGAGATAACGTGGAGTCGTGTCAACCGAGTACATGCGCAGTCTCACTTAATGAGACGGGAGCTACAGGAAACCATTCCACAACGACATAATTTTGAATATCAAATAATGCAGAGATACGAGTTATTAGTGAGGACTACAGGAAAAAACATGCAGGTTAGAATACGCGACCACATGTATCTGTAATACAAGCGAGGAAACGTGCAATAAAACACCGTGCAAAGCTCCAAGCGTACACTGGAGTTAACTCGCTTGGAACTGCGACAAAGTGGCAAACTGTCGACGACGAGAGAAACTCCCTCCTTAAAATTTTTAGAGCGGTAGCTCATACCAGAATATAACATATGCAAACCCAGCAAGATGAAACACAAAGCTTCAGGAAGTTCCAGTTCTTTTGTAACAAAGAATTCCATATTAGGAATATGCCGTTAATTAACTAAATATCAATTTAAGTAGCAGGATTAAATTAGAATTCCATCTTTTTATTGCGAATGAGTATTTTGGTTGTCTAAGATAAATTTTACTCCAGCGTAGGTCACGTTCATCCTAAAATAAAGTAGAGGTACTCGTTCAAAACAAAGTCTTTGTACTTTATAAAATATTGCTTTGTTAAATATGTTATATTCTAAACTTGTCCGCTCTATATGATAGAATAGTAGGTTGTGAAAGGATCTACATCGAGAATCTACTGAATAAAATAGCTAAGCATACAATTTTTTACGAAAGGAATAAAAAACGCGCCAAATGCATTGTTGAGTTATATAAGCACTTGGGAATTTTTAAGAACACTCGAGACGTGCTAGAAGCATGAGCCGAAGGCGAGTGCTTCTTCGCACTTCTCTCCTGTTCTTAAAAATTCCCGCGTGCTTATGTAACTCAACAATGCTCGAGGAACAAGGTTTTTTTTCCTGTCATGAAATGTATCGTGAATTGCGCGCGCTCGTACCGATGACGTAGGCTGCGTTCATTATGGAAATATAATGAACTCGTTCTGACCAATCACAGCGCGCGCATTTCTCTTAACATTTTATAATCCCAAATAGAAAATACGATTACAGCTATCACCTGTCCGTAGTAGTATGTACATAGAAGGTCGCATGATTTTACAAGTAATTTAAAAAAACCAAATCACTAAGAGAGGAGTGCATTATTTTTTTTATGTAGCTAAAAGTTATTGTTTTCAAAATCGTCGAGTGATATTTGCTAGTCAACTTCAACTTTTGTCTCTGACATTGCGCGGACGTCTTCGTGTCTTTAAAGACCAGCCCTGTATTAAAGAGAGTATAGAGTCAATTGTTTCTTAAGAGAAAAAGAGCGCTGATTACTTGCACACCAAGCTCCCTTACCTAAATAGTTAGGTTTGTCATGAGGGAGAGGTGGGTAATGGTTCGTTTGACCGTTTAGCCGCAGCATTTATCAATGTTTGACCGATTACTAGGCTTTAACTTGCTTTTCTGCACTTCAGCTTTGTTCGTGACCTATGGGTATAGTTTCGCAGGCTAGTAAAGGTAAAAAGTTACCTAAAACAAACCCCATCTTTATTTCTCCCTTTCTCGGTGATGGCATTTAACCGACGCTTTTAAAGCTCCTGTATAACTGTTATGGGATACGCACCAAATGGGGTAATGGACAGCGAGGTACACCTACAAGCGGCAGGTCTGGCTGTAGGCTTTGGCCAAGTCGTCTACTATACTCCTAGGCAGGGTTAGGGCTTTCTCCACTTAGTGGTAATAATCTCAGCAACTTGACTTGCGAGAAACCTATTACCATAATACCTTGAGCAATTTTGCCTGAAGTTCACTGACCTGATCTCTGATGCAGAACGCATTTTCCCCTCAAACATTTCGTCGGCTGCCTTTGCGGCGGCATTCCCAGGTCCCATGGTTGCTACAGCAAGAATTTTATCCCCTCTGGAAGTGAATTAGAGAACAAGGAAAATAAAAGGCAATGACTAGTGGTACAACAAGGATTAAAAAAAAATATATATATATAATAATAATCAAGGTAAAAAAGGAGGAAACCTTATATGAAGCCTTCCCACGCTTTAACAAACGTCACGTGTACTCTTTTTTGAGTTTTTACTTCCTGAAGTAATTTGGTTTTTATGTTTGCTCAACTCACTTGGCAAAGTAGGCGGTGAATTTTTGTTCATCAACGCTACCGTCAATAAGCACGTCATCAAATGAATGGGCGTGACCTGGGGACAAATTTAACAGCAAAGAGGTAACAAAGGTAATCACTGATCGACCCGTGAGATTGCTCGGTTTCCCTCGGCTTAGTCCAGTTATTTTGGTTTACAACACGCCTGAGGGAGAGGGTAGAGGGGAGAGGGGAGAGGGGAGTGGGGAGAGTCAGAGGATTTGAGGGATCACATGGTTTTCAAGGGGAACGGAGTGGGGATCGGCCTAGTCCTGTTATTTTGGTTTACAGCACGCTTTACAATTAAGAACCAGTTAATCATTATCGCCTGAGGGAGAGGCGAGGGTCAGAGGATTTTGAAGGATCGCATGGTCTTCAGGGGAAACGGAGAGGGGATCAGCCGTCACCGACAGAAGATAAAGGGAGACTTGAGGAAATTGACCTCTGATTAAATGCCAATGAAGTGGATCATAAGAATATTAGAAAGCCTTAAGGGGGATCATGTAAATTTAATCTTGACATAAACAAAATCCTCCGACCCCCTTTCCCCAGGTTAAGAACTTCAGGCTAAGTTTGCAAGGATTTTCTTGGAGGAAATTAATTCTAATTCTGCATTTCTGTTAAGATAGAAATTGGATGGTAGGAAGCAGCTAGACTCAGATACTCAGAGACACCTACCACAGTATCTGATGCTTTTACCATACTGAGAAGTCCAGAAGAATGGTATTGTGTCGATCTCTTCGTTTCCTCCAAGCATATTACGCGCAGCAGTCAGTCCTACAATATGAAAGCACAATGGGCTGAGCACGACAATTTCCAGGACTTCAAAAACCAACCTAGAGCAGAACTACCTGGTCCCCTGTGGGGAGAGTTAGACAACAGGTTTGCCCTCTAGATCTTCTAGGTATTCCTCTACTCATGCAAATCTTCTTTTTTCAAGGACCCACGACTGGGTTTCGTAAAGAATCTCAATTTTCAAAGAAACACTTCATTACAGCAAAAATAAGATAAGACTACATTTTGATCGGGATCGTTTTGCCTCGAAGCGAGAGGAATGTTTATTGGACCATTTCAACGATATCACCCATAAAAACATACCATGCTTGTGCGAAATCTGCCAATGACCAATAGTCACCCTTTCCCAATCTAACATCTTCAGAGGGAAATGAGCGATATCTCCAGCGGCAAAAACTCCTTCACAAGCCTTCATGTACTGCAACATGAAGAGACGATAGGTTGGTAAAATAGAAGCAGGCCATACTAATTTGGCCATAACCGTATTTATACAACAAGAGAGCCTAAAGCAAGCGCGAGAAAAAGAGTGGGGCACGAGGGCAGGAGAAAAAAAAGACTATACATGATGAGCGTGAATTGCCACTGAGCAAGTTTGTCACAGTTTTAGCCACTAAACAATGCATCATCTCCTGCATTTTCCAGATCAGTTCATTGATATTTCAACTACACGTCAAAAACTGTTGCTGACGAACGTGGGCGTCCGAAATCAGACGGTACCGTCCTAAAACGGATACAGGTGTCCGACATCCGACAATAGTGAAAGAAATTAAAGACAGGTGTTGGATAAAACGAACACTAGTCGTCTTAAATGGACACCAGTGTCCAAAATAAAGACTAGTGTCTAAAAACGGACACTAATGTCCAAAATCGGACGATAACTTGGTTAATCCAAGAAAAGATGGTCATCGCCGAAATGGCCTGAATGGGAGTCACCTCAAGGCTAACTTTAAAAACTGCATATCGCAAAAGTATTCTAACCTTATCAACAATTACATCTCCGCGGCTGGTCTGAGGCACGCTACTGTTTTTTAAGAAGTCTGTGGATGGTGATACACCTAGGAAAGACAGTAAATAGTGGTTTGCGTAGACTCCAGAACTAGAGAAATGTTTTGTTCTTAGGCATCACACTTCCCTCACATAATGTCTCTTTTCACACGAGACTCAATGGATGCCAGCAAATTGTGCGGGAGACTTAGTAGTTTTGCTTGGTTATACCCTGGCTCTCCATCCTAGATCGAGTTGTTTCAAACGCGATTGACTTAGCTCAGGGTTAGAGTAAATTTTTGAAAGTACTAGGTTCAGCTTTACGAAGAAGTCTCCTGGTTGGACATTTTATGGCGTTCAGTTTTGCCTTGTACATACGCTTGCAAAGAACAGAATCAAACCGAAAGTTAATTTTTGCACTCTCAATTGGCGCTGAAGTTAGTGGTATACTAAAGGAACCTTACCTACTCCCTGGATACAGACATCAGCAGGAACTTCTGTTCCATTGTTAAAACACACAGCTGTTAACTGAAAGCAATACACCAGACACCTCGTATTACAGACGAACCGAATAAACTGACAATTCAATCGGTTAACTTTTAAGTTGCACTCAATTCTTAGAGTAAATGTTTGTCTCTTCGGGTTTATGAATTTTGGATAATAATTATCATTTTTAATGATTCACAATACACATTAATCCTCTCAAGCATGAACCACCCTTGTCAGTTCTCTCTTAATTTTTCAAGTATCAATTGGTGGTTGCAATTTTACTGTTGCTTTACGGTTTCTTTAGGTTAAAAGGCATTTGTGTATGTCCTAAAACTCCTGATGTGTAGCTCCATCCAATCACAGGATGACAAAAATTAACTTCCTTAATTAAACTGAGAAAAATCCTCACTTTTCCGCTGTCGCCTTTGAAACTACTCGCAGCAGCATCGGTGATGAATTTTACTCCTTTGCTTTCATGAGTCTAGAAGAAGAGGAAACAGAGTTTCAGAGTGTGATTAATCAAGCTTTACAGTAGGAAAAAAGACTGTTTGGGTAAATAGGTTGTTTGCCTTTTGATCAGCCTTAAGTGTTCATGCCCAACTCCTAAACATCCCTGAGCCGTCCCCTGTTCTCCACGTCTACACAGACACGAGGTTGCGAGAGACTAGCACCTCCCGCTTCCTCGTTGAAAATCGACCAGGTACGAGTCAGTAATGCATCCCATTACCTTTTTCAGCATGGCGCCAATCTTCTCGCCCAGCACGTTCGCAAAAGGAATACTGCTTCTTCCAACACATGTCACAGACGCAGCTTTGTCTGCAAAGTTCGACGCCAGTTCCATACCTTACGGATCAAGGTGAAATGGTGGAGCAAGTTAACAGTAATATTCTTCCCTCATAAGTAGTAATACTTAAGCTTTTTCCAGGCGTTCAGTTAGTAAAACAGAGCGCGATAGTTGTGGCTGGGCGAAAAACGAGGAAAGCTTGGGTCGGGTTGCATGATCCAACCCAAACTAAAAAAATGAATAAAGAAGGTGAGTTTCTAGAGAAATGTGGATTTTCTTCAGGTTTGGCATGGTGCACTGTTCTGAAAGCTGTGGATTTAAAAATGCTAAGACAAGAATTTGTGATTGTAGCGATTAAACGACAAATGAAGTTTACTTTTTTCAAAAGAAACTGTGGTGCTGCAAACTCGAAAAAGTTTGTCAAACACTCCCCTTTGGTTCGTGATTCATAAACTTTGCTCGTTTTCTCCAGAATCTCAAGTTGGAGATATCACGCCGGAAAACGAATGGAAAGCGCGGTCTATTGCTAAGCTACTAGATGTAAAATAAATTAAAGAGTCTGGCATTTGAAACCACGGGCTAGTAACCAATTAAATTGTAAAAAAATTCTAATGAGACATAATAACATTAATGGTTTACCTATAAACGAAGTCCCAATGATGACCACGTTCTTTCCAGGGACGAAGGAGGCTACATAAAATATAAACACACATGGTTTTACTGAGCTTACCAAAAATGACGTTGTAGGTGACAGCTATATAAGAAGCCTAAAGTAAAAGATGATAATGGCGGCTAACAACAACAACAACAGAGTTAAATAAAACAAGGAAATAACGAAAACTCAAAGCTAACACCGACATGTTCAATTCCTTAAGTGCAACAAAACGTGAGTGCAAGATGAAGTAAGACTGGTTCTGCAAACCTACGCTTAAAGGTGAATTTCTTTTAACACTTGACAACAAATTGCTCTTAAATGTACACACCAATCTGGTTAGCATCTTCAGGACTCCTCAGTAAGAAGATGTTCTCCAGATCACTTCCAGGTATACTTAAACTTCTCGGTCTAAATGCAAGTAAAATCAGACGACATAACTCGATGAAATAGTAGGCTTGTAGCATGCAAATTGAATGTACTACACTAAAATTGAACCGAGAAATGAAAGCCAATTTTTTAGAGGTGGACAGTTTAACAAATGGATGAAAGAGTAAAGTAAAAAGTAAAAAAATGAATGAAGAATGGATGGAAGGGTAGAGAGAAATAAGGATGTATTAAAAAAAAGTAAGTATGGATGCATGAAATGGGAGAAATTACAGATAGGAAGAAGAAAGGTGATATCAAATGAAGGGTTCTAGGGATGTAAGGAGAGAAGAAAAGAATCACTGGATGAGTGATGGGAAAGGGAGAGGGACACTTGAAGGAACAATGCTTACACAATGAATGTGGTCAAATAAATCATAACAGATCGATAGCTAACAAAAACCCACATCAACAAATACATGAAAAGTACAAGTAGGAATAAGTGCAATGGACATGAACATGAACTGTAACAGAAATTAACTCACTTTCCTCCAGTAGCAATCAATACACTATCATAGTTAAGAACTGTGCCATTACTCAAAGTGACAGTTTTTTGGTTATTGTCCAATGCAGTGGCCTGAATGAGAAAAATAACAAAATGCTATATCATTAACACTTGCAATATAAAAAAAACAGAAAATAACAAAATGCTATATCGTTAACACTTGCAATATAAAAAAAACAGAAAATAACAAAATGCTATATCATTAAACACTTGCAATATTAATAAAAAACAGAAAAATAACAAAATGCTATTTCATTAAACACTTGCAAATATATAAAAAAACAGAAAAATAACAAAATTCTACATTAAACACTTGCAATATAAAAAAAAACAGAATAACAAAATGCTATATCATTAAACACTTGCAAAGAAATAATGCTATGCCAAGTGCAGTAACCACATTTTTTCTTTCTTTCCAAACTTTAATACACAGCTATGCAAAATACAACTGAATGATAACTTTCTGTTTCATCTCTCCATGAGGGCTCCATGACCATATTGACATACCTCAGTTTTTGTCATGAGCTCAATGTCATGATCCTTGAGAAATTCCATTGAACGTAACTTTAAAGAATCAGCCGTGGCAGCTAATTTCTAAATTGAAAGAAACAACCCATTCATGACAACACACTTATATTAAAAAGACCAATTATAAGAAGTAACTCAATGAAATATAAGCTACCCCATTCTGCTAAATATTTTGGTTTGAACTCTGGGGTACAACTTAACCTTGATACAATTCAGAGCCACTTCCAAAGAACTTACAGTTTTAATATTTACAAAAGTATTGGAAGTTTTTTGGGATCAAAACACAACAACTTTGACAAATGGAAAGCTGTTCCAACAAATTATGAAAAGCTTTTCCAGTGAAGCTTTGATTGGAATAGATTTAGATCAACAGATCCTTACAGAACTGCAGCAATGAAGATGAATCTCATGATGACTTACTACACAATTCCAAATTCACACTCAAAAAGGCTATGGAATCCAATTCTGTTGGACAGTAGGACAGTATTCAAATCAACATTTAAATTCACACCAATCTCTCAACAAATCAGACCAAACTCTACAGAGAAGCTACAACAATAACAACCTTCAGATGATCAGTTAAGTCTCCAAGGAAATTATAGCTGAACACATATTAAGATGACTTACCAAAAGCAAATAGCATGAACATAACACTAACCTTACTTAAAATTGGTCTATCATAGGGCAAGTGAGCCTCTTTTGTAATCATGATAACACGCCCTGTGAGGAACAGAAGCTCAATTATCTGTAAGCTAACACTACTCAGGTGTTTGAAAAAAAATAAAAAATCTTAGCTGGTAACAGGTTGTAGTAAATATTATTCAGTCAACAGGTTCAAAGCATTTGTTACAACCATTCTTAGTCAAACAATTGTCAATGATTAAAAGTAACCATTGTTTGACTCCCAGCAGAACTTCCTGACATTATGATCAGTAAAAATTTGCTCCCACATTTAAAAATAAAATATTCCCAATCTGCAGATGAAAACTACTGCAATATTCATGTATCATAAAATAAGTATCAGTCCTGGTACCTCTGAATCCCTCTTCTCTCAATGTCTCGGCAGCTTTCATGGCTGCTCCACCTGCATAGTGTAAAAACATCAACTTTCAATTTCCACATGAAACCTCCTGCTTCTGCAAGGACCCTTTTTTAAGTTCCACCCCTAGTTTGTGTATCACTAAGATAATTTAAGGCTAAATAACTGTCTAATACCCTTTTAAAACCTTGGAAGTTCAGGTTTCTATGAGAAAATACTTTCCGTTGAGACTCTTGTCTGACATAAATCATCCTTATTATCTGACAGCATAAACTATCTTTAACCCTTTAAATCCTGACATCAGTATGCATATTCTCCATACTGTTCCCTATAAATTTCCTAAGGTGCGAACAAGGAGAATTTGTTGAACAATCAAGAGCTCTTTTCAGATTGAGCAATCATTTCCTTTATTCTTATGGCATTAATGTATGATTTGGGGCTGATATGGTAACCTTTGACTCCTAAGGGTTCAAGGGTTCACAGTTAACGGCTGAGCACACTTTCTTTTCATTGTGACTGGGAGCTTGGAGGAGAGAGGTAGTACTTGTTCAAGGGTAACTATGGTTACATACCTTCTTGACTACCTTAATCTTAAACTTTGACAACCCACATGACAAACCAACTATTTCAACAGCTTGCATGTACACTATGAACAAACTCACCTCCCCCAATGATAACAAATACTCGTTTGTCACAACTTGTGTCTTCTTTAACCATTGTCTTGACTCTTTTATGAGATGTAAATTGCTAAAACACAGATGACACAAATTTAAAAGTAAACAAATATATTTTGACATCATCGCTTTTATCAGATAAAGAATCATGAAATAAATATTACTAACAATATTATTACGACAGACATTTCAATTTTAATTCTCCTTTACCTCTGGATGTGCCCTAACAATAACATTACCATTCTTGATGACCACCTGAAAAGAAAAATAATTAATTTTCAGACTATTAAGAAATTTGCCATGAACATCTATGGAGAAATTATAGATTCTAAATGTTATAGAGATAACCCAGTAGTAATTTTCCCACTGCAAGTTGAGCACCAGCACAACCTTACTCTGGGTATATTTAAATGCTTCCTGATACACCAGTCAATCTTTACTTTTTTCCTTTTTACAATCTCTTCTAAAAGTGTATCCTCTTTCAAGTTTTCCATGTGTCTAACAACAGTCCACCCTATCTTTCATATTTCTTTCTCTGATTCCCAGATTATTCAACTCTGTCAAAGTTTTTACACCTTTGTTACTGTATAAAAACCCAACTGACCTCAAATTTGGGTAAACTGTCCAGCCCAGGAAAGTCTTCAATATCACCAGTCTTGACATTAAAGCAGGCTCCATGCCAGGGACAGCGTACTCGTCCAGTAGAGAGATGACCAGTGGATAAAGGAGCCCCATAGTGAGTACACTTGTGGCCAACTGCAGAATACTCCCCATTCTCACGTACCAGCAGTGCTTTACCTTCTCCAATGTCAATTGTTCTCATACTGCATTTAAAGGAGACAAGGTTGAAACATAGGTATGCTATGCATGCAAGTTATTTTTTTAGATGGGTGGGTTGAAGTGGGACACTTTGAGTGACTCATTTTTCCAATTTTGAAACATAAAAATAGCCTAAACTTTCAAAGTTTCCAACAAAAATACCTTTCAGTAGAGGGCAAATAAGTTCCTTCCAATTTATATGAAATAAACCCTGACATAGGTAGTTTGTGGTCTGTCATTACTGTTGTCTGAACAATTTTAAGCATAAATAAACTGCATTTGTACCATGCTTACTGTAGTCTCCTTTACAGCCATTGTTTGGTCTTGTCACACAACATCTCCCCTGCCTCTGTTGCATGACAAGACCAAACAGTGAATGCAAATGAGACTTCGTTAGCTTGCTTGTGATAAAATGCAGGTTGTTTACAAGGATATGACATGTGATGGGGTGAAATCCAAGGCAGCATAAGATAGAAAATGTCAAAGAGCACGAGAGTTGCATGGAAAATTTACTACTAATAGCATTTAGTTTCATGTGAACTTTGTTAAGTGTGGTAGGATTATGTTGTAAAATTTAGGCTGTCACTGAAAAATGTCATTTTATCAAGGTAAACCTAATCACTAGTGACAACTAAATGCACAATTGTGCCAGGAAAATACCATTTAAACACAAGATGCAATTCATGTAGAACTTCTAAAGGTAAAGAAACAGATATTTACAGGGCACTTGACACAGAAAGTAAATATAACTTGATGATCTTTTCAACCTGAGCCAAAAGAAGGACATACAAGGCAAAAACAAGATTATTGATCAAATATGATTAATGCAAATGCTTTGAGCAAATTTTACAGCAGTCAGCAAAACTAGCCCTTACAAAACAAACGCTCCAGCGAGAACTTCATTAATTGTAGGCTTTTTACTAATGGCATGTGTGTTGTTAGTGAAGGAGCATTACACAAAACATGCTTCAACTTCTAAATGGCAGAAATTTTCCCAGCCAATTTTTGTCATCTCAAGATATCATAGTGATCAGGTCCATATGAAGGAAATTTAGGAACTCTTTCACTGGATTGATGAGCTCACAATTCTTTGTTGATATTCTTCCTATTGTGTGCCAATGTTGGGTTAATTCCATTGCAACATTTTGTGATACCCTAATTCCAGGACATAATTGACAGGAGGGACAGTACCCTGATGCTTGGATTGGTGCAAACATTATAACACTGTAATTTCATTGGCGCTAAACACACATCCTCATGTGGCAATCTGATTGGTGCTGGCAACATAACACTCAATACCCTAACATAGTTATTATTTTTATTAATGATAAAAAAATAACTCAAACTGATACCTTTAATTATCTAATTTAACGATTAGCAGAAGTCTTTGTAACTAGTTACAAATAAAATATTGCAGACAAAGAAATTGGAGTGCATTACGTTCCATCTTGCAGACAGTCATCATATTGGCCAACATTGACTTCAATCATGGTGGAGCTTTCTACAGATGTTCCTATAGATTTGGAAAAAGGAATAATAAGTCAGTTTATAATTCATGAACTTCTTCACTAAATTAGCTTTGCGGGAATCAAAGAAAAACAACACGCTAAACTGATGCTGTACGAAACAGAATGGTGTGTTGTAATTTGAAGAGGAATTATGAAATCTGAGCTAATACGAGAAAAGAGGTAACACGATCAGAGTAAGAATTGCAACAAATGAATAATGGGGTTATGTTCCTAGGGAAACTTTGATGCTGCATGAGTGGGAGTATGACAGCTGCAGCAGCTCGGTTCTATCAAATGCGATGGTGATGTACATTAGTCACCACAAGGAGTTTATAAAGCTGACATTTCGATAGTTAGCCCTTTGCCTGCGCAAATAGAGACAAGTGAAAGCCTGTAGTTAAAGATCAATTTTCCAGGTAACAACCCACTCTTTGAGTTCCTTACAGGTTTTCCTTATCCACATGTCAGCGAGCGGTCGTATGCTTTTGTTAACTGGTAGCCAAAACGAGCAATCGAGTTACAATGTCATACAATTTTATGTACTAGAAAATTATCTGCTGTAGAAAAGGAAACCTCAACTATCTGATTACATAAATAACCTCGGGCAGGTAAAACAATTCTAAGAGAAATCTGATTTTTTGAGGAGAAGCGCCGAATAATTTACTTGAACACATACAAGAAATTTTCGACATGATATTTTAAGTTGAATTTCTCTCGAACAATAATATATTTGATAATCTTGATTTAAACAGGAAGGTTAAACTTGTCATTTCAGTACGCGGTTTCCCTATCCATCTACCACGGTGAAACTACTCCAAAAACATGTTGTTAAATAAACGCTTAACACGACCGACAGTTCGAGAAAATATTCACCAAATGCTCAATAAACAAATTTTAGTAATTTCATTTGAAGAGTAGCCAATATCCTCGTAAGAGATCTCGAATTTGATAAAACTTGCTTCAAGTAAGTTCGCACTGCGAGAGTCTTGTTGTATTTCTGTCAAACTCAACGCATTCATGAGCATTATCTTACTGTTTTTCCAACAAGATAACACATCCCTTCTTCCTTTTGAATTCAGATGTAATTATTAAGCACTGACCTTTAAATTTGTCACCTACCAAAGGCACACATTCTGAATAAATTAGGCATGGAAATTCAACACAGTTGTTTATGTTCCAACTTAGGCTGATCTACAAAGCTTACCTTCTCCTGTATCTGTGGTCAGTGTCCCTGTTGTGGAAAAACTGGCAAATGATGGCTGAGGGACACTTTTTCTACTTAAAAAAACCTTCCTCTCTCTGTTAGAAGATACCGTGACTCCCATGACAGGTAAATTGCGGTATGGTAATTTTGTGTGAAAGTTGTATTTACGCACGATTTGACGCAATAAGGGTCCAAAAACATCGGGTCGGAATACAACTTTAACCGCCTTACAGAACATCTAGAACCACTTGGCGGGTGGACAATCGAAACGGAAGTCACTTTTCAAAGCAAATGATGGGCGAAATAGCTGTGGCGGCTTACCTGTCTAGTAAATGTCACCAGCTGCAGAATCTTCCAAAACATATACTATCATCCAAAGGGGTGTGATGCTGATAGGAATTGTTTCATCAAGTAAACTCAACTGTAATGTCCATCTAATTAGACGATAGGCATGCAAGGCGTATTAAATAAACATTTAGTGGGAGTGACGGAGCTAATAAGTGAATCTTTGAATAAAATATTTAATTTACTTCCTTGTAAGTAGCAATTCTGGTGCACAGCACTTGGAAACATTTACTTTTGAAATTAATTCTCCTTGTGGTTTAGAATCACCAAATTTAGTTCCAAGGAGATACAATTATCACCCCTAACAACATTATTTTAAGTCTCTTCTCAACCAAGGTGGAGAATCTGATTAAATCAGCAAAAATATCAAAATTTGAGAACAAGTGCAGGTGGGACATAATCAATCGCATGTAAACAAAAACATATCTTCAATACCGTTATGGAGTCTAATCCTTTATCCTTAATTTTATCAAGGTGCTCTCATGGTCAGGGAAATAACTATTCCCTAATTTTTATTTCAATAGTGAGGAAAAGATAAGATTGTCAGGGGGTGGGTAAGGAATTGCCAGAGTAGAAGTAAGGGCAGGACTACTTGATTTTCAGGGATACTTACACAGGTAGTGGCTTTGCTAACTCTCTCAGCTTTGAAAATGGTTTGCAATCCAATGGAATGCTTGTCCTAAAAATGTCTTGCTTACTTAAATAAATTAAGAGGTGCAGTTGAGGGATCATGGATAGATGGCCAAAACATCTAGGTAGTAAAATGAGTAAAAAATGAGATGGAATAAATGTCAGTTCTTATTTATCCCCTTTTACTTTTACAGTTGAAGAATTTTCAGATTTCTTTTTTGACATAAACAAGGTCATACCCTGATGTTTGAATACCAAACCAGTAGCTCTCGCATCCAAGGGTTGGCTGAATCACCGAGCTGCAAAAACTCCCCATTGAGGAATGCCAATATACTGTATGTCTAATCCCCCTGTACTTTATCATATTTTCACAAGCACCTCTCACACTGATTAAAATCAGACTTTTTCAATTGCTGGAGAACCGACAACAATGTCTCTCTCCCAGCAAGTATGAAGACAATGCTGCCCTCAAGATGACTTTTCAAGCAATCAGGTTATTTAAGTAAACAGTTGACAGAAACCCAGACAATCAGATCCAGACTTCAGTGCCAACATTGTGATTACCAAGGTCAGTTAAAAATAAATTTAACCTATCACATAATATGATACAAATAATGACATGATCAATCTGGGAGTCAAAGAAACATCATTTTTGACTAGCCTTTTTTTTTAAGAGAAAATAAAAGCTTTTGACCCTTAACCAAGGGGTTGAAATTTTACTCTGTACAAAACATGTTTGCAATTAACTATCAAGGAGGGGAGAAAAGTCCACAAGTCAATGTCTAAAAGCAGGAAGAGGGTGTTTTTTAAGCACAATTTTACATTCACATTGACTGAATAAAACAGATTTGGAAATTTTAAACTTTATTCACCATCATTATATAATTTTTCCATTAGCACACAGGTAATGACATTATCATAATTGAAAGAAAAACATTCTTTGAAATGACTTTGCCATCAGAAACAAGCCTCCAAAACAGTAGTAATCAGCACAAGCAAGCAGGAATAAGTCACACTTAATGTTCCATTTCATCTTCATAGCCATCAGGCAAAGCATTCACGTGCGAATTGTGAAATAATGAGTGGTTGCCATCACCCCATGGGAAGAGCTGAAACAAAACAGATCTCTTCTTGAGACAAATGAGACAGTAATAAAATTGAACAGCAGAAGGAATGTTACAATTTTCCTACAGGAGAAAAAGTTAACTCACTGATACCTATACTAATATGATGCCAGTTGTTTTCAAGGATGGATTATGGCAAATAAATGATCATCTTTAGAAGTAATATGTAAATAGAGAATAATACATGGGTGCGCATAGATATGGAATTTCTCTTTGAGTGTTTAACTTGATAGCTCACAAGTGAGATGTCGAGTTGAACACGAGAAGAGAAACTCCATATCTACAAGCAACCATGTATTATTTTGTTTATCATATAAACACAATAGCCCTTTACTGAGAAGAAAAGCCGACTTCATTAATGAATGAAAATAAATGAATCGACAATCCCCGAATAATAATCGTAGAGTGCGTTGGCGCTAACTCTTATGATGGAAAAATGCGTTGAATCATGATTACAAAAACAACAATGGTCGTAATTTTCAACTTACAAAATTCTCATTTATTGACTCTGTCCTTACTGACAGAAGAAGCCTTTCAGGTAAACGGCCAAAATCCGCCAGTGACAAATCTTCCAGTTGTCAATTTTCATTCTCAGCCGAGAGAAATGCTAACACCAAAGCCACTGAATATGTAACTTTCGGTTTTTCTTTTATTATGTTGGTGTTCTTCCCCTTCTAGAAAAGTTTGAACCTCATTGTCTGTCAGCAATACAGATTTTTTAGTGTTTTAGCTACCATAAATTGAGCAAGTTCCAACATGCAACTTGTATCAAGAATCGTGAAGGCTTTGCCATTCATTCATCAACCTGACCGAATGGCGCCAAAGGCGAGTGACGTGTCAGCAGCTGATTGGCTATATCAACACACGTGAAAAAATATGATATTTTTTCACGTGTGTTGTTACGGCTTTTCTCAGGGCCGGAAATCCTTGTATAACACCACAGTTTATGTGATAAAAATTACATAGAATGGCCATTACAATTCCTTTTTTTACATTGCAGAAGATGTCAAAACAGTATGAAACAGTTTTCACCAGGGAAATGGAAATATGCTTCCTCTAAGAACATAACAACAATAAAAACCTGTATGTCACACAATAACCTTCTTGAACATGGACATTTTGATTACTCTTTAATTTTACAGTTTTGCATCAGTTTTGTTGTCGACGAAGGAAATTGAGTCATTCCAATCTGTTTCTTTCACCCCTTTCACTTGCAGAAGTGACAGTACACTACCCTTACATTACCAATACATTTTTCAGCAAAATGCAATAAGAACAGAAAGAACATATTTTATATGACTTAGGATTACATTCTTAGATCTGAAATGATAAGAATTGTATGAAAGACAGTGTGAAGAAATGATATTTTAATCAAGGGAGTGATTGGGTTCATACTGCTTTCAAGAGTTTGGAATGTATTCAAAACTATGTCAGCTGTGAGACCACTGTTTGTAGAAAGGTTTAGTCAGTACTTGAGCCTAATAGCCAACCCAGCTAGAGTTTATCCCAGTTTCCTTAGCATTAGGCAACTGGGAGTATTACAACTTCCCCCCTGGATGGGATGCTTGTCCATCACAATGACAGCCCCCCAGCATTTCATCAGGCTTCCCTGATAATTTGCCAGCACCTATTTAAACTTCAGAGTAGAGAGAGGCCCAGTGAGATTTAAGTGTCCCGCCCAAGAATGCAACATATTAATTCCCCCAGTGCTTGAACCCAGACCTCTCAACCCAGAGTCCAGTGCACTGATCATTAGGCCACTGCACCTTCACACACAATTTGAAGAAATGATACTGTTCACCAACCTTAGATCTAATCCTGAGGTGAGAGTATGGTACAAACTCTGCCCTTGGATGTTCATGATGCTCTTTCTCCTTAAGATACGTATTGTAAGTACAGATAAGAATGCCAGGAATGGCAACAAAATATGAAATCAACTTCCAGGTCTTCATAGTTGCTAAAGAGAGAGAGAAGAAGAGAGAGGGAAAAAATGGAATTTAACTGAACAATTGAAATTAGAATGCTGGAAGATAACCTGTCCTGTTTTGACAGAAGACAGTACTGGGACCCTATTTTCCTATAAACAAACATGGTAAGACCCTTTAACCCTTTCACTCCCAAGATCTCAATAGTAATTCTTCTTACTGTCTGCTATACAGTTCTGTGATGTTGGTTTGGAGAATTTGGTATTGGATCAACTTATATTCTGTTAATTTCTATTTTTCTTTAATCTCATTACTTGTCTGCTTGATATTGTATTGATACTGTAAAGAGAAATTCTGTCTTGGTGACTCATGGGAGTTAAAGGGTTAACCATTATAAAAAAGAAAAGTGAGTAGCATTAGAAAAATCTTTTACTACCAAAAACAAATTACATGTACCTGACAAACAAAGTAGAAAAACCCAAAATTGAAGACAAAGATTTTCACAAAAATTGAACCATGGACATGCACCTATGTAAAAAATCTCTTTTGTTTTAAAATTCAAATAACAATTTTTCCCCTCCTCTCCCCCCTCTTCATTCTTTTTGTATTTACATGCTATACCCATGATTTCACAAACTAGCCAATCACATCAAAGAACTCTGGCCTTGACATTCAAAACTAACAAGGAAATCTTTTGTTCACTTTTGTTGTTTGTTTTATGGAGTTTTGGTTAATTCTCATTTAACTTTTGTTTGTGCAAATTTGTTACCTCTTTGTTTGGGATTTTAAGAAGTTTATTTTGGCCCAATGTTGTGGTTCATTTAACTACTTAAATATATATTTTCTACAGAGTTTGGACTCTTGTAGATGGATTTTTTACAATCTTTGCCCTATTATGGGATTTGGTTCTGCACGTCTCATTTTCTCTAATAAGATAAAATAATAGAAATAAATGGGAATTCAACAATGGACATTCCAAATTGGAATTTAGAGTGTTGATTTTTATGGAGGAAGGAAAACTGAAAGGACCCAGAGAAGAACTCTTTAAGCAAGGAAAAGAACCAACAAGAAACTCAACCCACATGTGATGCCATATTGGGTCATAGTAGTGGTAGGCGAGTGCTCTCACCACTGCACCATTCCTTATCCCCTTCTCTAGCCTCATTTGTATACTTCCAATTTTTTCCAGCTATATTTTGACAACTAGGTTTGGAAATAGCAGAAAAGCTTTGGGGTTCTCGGTTACAAGGTCAATGCCAATAGCATGTAAATGAAATCACAGGGCATGATTTCAGCACCCATTTCATGGCCGTAAACATTCGTCATAATAGTTTGCGCAAATACGAATGAGACTCTAGCTTCAGAATTTAGCGTTGGCCAAACAGTTACTGATATAAAACAAAATCTCTCCATTTCATCAACAGCCGTAAAACAAATCTTATCTACCAATCTCAACTGGCCAATCTCGTATGTGCGACTTCACGAGCTCGTCCCGCGATAGTAATAGTCACGGGTTAATCTGGCATTTACCCTTTCTAGACACTCGTCATACTTCATATTTTCATTTTTGAACTAACACTATAAGTTTACATTTAAACAACGGAGGTAACCTCAGTACAATATTGAACTAAATACGTTAAGAGCAAGCGTATTAAAATAACACGCAATGCCAGTTAATGGGGCATCGTTTTGGAGCAGTAACATAATAAGATTGAATCTACTGACTTACATTCAGCATGTTTCGCCTCTGCAAGTTCTTTCTCTGCCAAAGAAGCTCCTGGAGAAGCCGTAGCTGCGAAAAATCTCTTTGAAACCAAGTTCACTCGCGAAAATATACGTGCCGCCATCTTGTAACTCCTCGAACTAAAAAAACGTAATTAATGGACTTCTGGGATATCTTATCTACAAACCAATCAGAATTCGTCTTATATTGCACCACCAAAATCTAAAATGGCGGCCTGACCTTTTTTCTTTTTTTACATAAATTTTATTTTATTTTTCATACATACTCATCTCTGAGATGGATTTTTTAGAGGAGCAAAGAGAAGAGATCGAGAGCCTTAAAGCCATATTTCCTGATGAATTTTCCGAACTCAGTTCTTTCCCTCCGACGTTTATGATCAGAATTGATGAGCTAAACATCCCTTCTTCCGTCACGTCGCTTCAACTGAAGATTTCCCTTCCACTGAAATATCCAGAAGAAATCCCTTTGATCGAGATCCCAAATCGCTCGAATGCAATGCCAAAAGAGTTCATAGAAGAACTGATCTCCTTCTTAAAATGTTCGTGTGAGGAATCTATGGGAATGCCTATGGTGTTTGGCTTAGTAGATTCAGCAAAAGCATGGGTTGAGGAAAATGCAATGAGATTCAACGGCTTTCAAGGAGACCAAGCAGCAGAAATTGAATCAGATGAGGAAACAGATGGTCAAGATTCTATTTACTTGGAAAATTTCAAAGACAAATTGGAAATGATCAATGCAAAAGGTGGAAGATGGGACTTCGTCATTGGCCTAATTGGTAATAATTAGACATCATATATAATTATTTAGGTAAAGTTAAAATATTAATAAAATAAATACTCAGCAGTTTTAGCTACTAAGGCTTGATTTCTGTTGTTCTCACGATTGCGGTCATTGTTCCTCCCAGAGAAGAATTCCTGTGGTGAAGGAGTGATTTTCAGATGAACAGCTGGTTCATTATCAAGCTTACTGTATTTTTCTAAATTAACCTGGATTGTATTGGTTGTGCTAAACTACATTTGAAGCACCATTCACTGGTTTGCAAAACTTGTGCTATTGTCCTTAACAGTCAGATGTGAAACTAAATCAATTTCTAGTGTGTCCCTGGTGTTTTCCTACAGTTTTAACTCTCAGTTATTTATCTGTCTTTGTTATGATGAGGAGAATGATGAATAGGAACAATGTGTACATCATAAGAAGCTAAGGAGAACTTATTTGTAAATAAGTAAATAAATACAAGCTAAATGCCTGGGGGTTGTGGTTGGAGTTATTTGTAAGCCTTGTGAGATAAATATTAATAGAAATAAATTTTAGTTGTTAAATTTTCATTGAGAGGAGTTAAATTTATTTTTCAGGGAAACCCTCAGCTGGAAAATCCACTTTCTTCAATGCTGCTACACACCAAAATATGGCAAAAATAGGTGCACATCCCTTCACCACAATTGAACCAAATATTGGGCAGGCATTTTATGCAATACCTTGCCCTTGTGTTCAGTGGAATAAACAATGTCATGCTCGATATGGCCACAGTGCACAAGGTGAAAGGTTTGTTCCAGTCTTGCTCAAAGATGTGGCTGGTTTGGTGCCAGGTGCATGTGAAGGAAGGGGACGGGGAAACAAATTTTTGAATGATCTCTTGGATGCTGATGTACTCATTCATGTTATTGATCTGTCAGGGCAGACAGATGAGAATGGAAAACCTACCACTGGTAAGTACTGGAGATTAAAATTTGATTTATTGGTTTTCTTCATAAAAACATTTTTAGTCATAATTAACCTTTTTACCCCCTTAGAAGTGACTAGCATCTAATTTCTCCTTACAATATCTCTCCAGAATCACACATTCAGGTCACAGGAATACAGGAAATGATCACCACCTAAATAAGCTCTTGATTGTTTAACAAATTCTCCTTGTCAGGACCTTAAGAAATCTGAGATAACTACAGAGAAAAAGGCATACTGGTGTTAGGGTATAAAGGGTCTTGTCTTCTCCAGGGTGGCTTATTCATGTCATATTTTTCTTTTTAGGGTGAGCTTTTGATTGTTCTTTTTTGTTATCAGATTATGACCCTACAAGAGATGTGGGATGGATCCAGCAAGAACTTCACAGCTGGATTTATGACAATATTATGGACAAATGGGACTCAATTGTGAAGAAACCAGCAAAACTATTTGACATGTTCACTGGATACCATGCATCTCAAGCATTGATTCACTTAGCATTTGAGTCAGCAGGAATCACAGATAAAAACCTCCTTACTATTCCTAAGATGGAAAAAGCAAATGCTGAACTTTTGGTGCACAAATTAGTTGATAAATTCTTGTGCTTGCGCTTTCCAGTTCTCTTAGCTCTCAACAAAGTTGACTTTCCTGATGCTGTTCAAAATTTGAAGAAATTTCAAGAGCAGTTTGTGGACATGACAATGGTCCCTGTTAGTGCAAGGAGTGAGTGTATTCTTCAAAAGGCATGCAAGGATGGTGTGTTAACCTACCAAAGTGGTGCATCATATTTTGAAATTAACCATCAAACTCAGGATCTAAGTGAAAAGTCCAAGAAAGAGTTGATACAAGTAAAAACCAGTGTCCTTGATGTCTTTGGTGACACTGGTGTCCTGCAAGCTTTGTCGCAAGCTGTGAGTCTCCGATCACCAGTTTATGCATTTCCAGTTAACTGCCTTGATACTTGTCAATCGATCAGTGTGATCACAAAAGAGAAACCCCAGATACTCAGAGACTGTATTGTGTTGAAACCAGGCACAACGGTGGAAAAACTCTTTAACATCTTGCTTTATCCACCAGTTTCTCTCCTCGCTGGAGAGTATGTGAGAGCAGAAGGAGTCAGTTCCAAAGGAGTGAAAAGTGTATTACATAAACATGACATCGTGAATGAGACAAACCAGATTTTGAAAATTATGAGCACCAGGAAAGCTTCACTATCAACTAAGACTAGAAAATAAGTATCATTTTCAGATATTAGAACAGATATAATTTTAAGTACCTTCTATGTTTATTGATTAAATATTCTTAAACATTTGTAAACCAAATAAGGAGGTGTGGATTGGGTTGCAAAAACCTCCTGTCTCCCTCCTCCCCAGCACCCAGCTTTGTAACTCATATCCAGCTTTCTTTTGAATCCTTTTCTCAAATTTACAAATTCTTGAAAATTTAAGAAAATAATATCCTGTAGGTTTCTTCACAACTTTTGGAAAAATTCAAAAGTAAGTGCAAGTAATTTTCTAAAGAAATATGACAACATTGAGTGGGTAAGGGCTTGGTATTCAAATAAAGTTTAACCCTTTAACTCCCATATCAAATTTGTAATTCTCCTTACTGTCATTCATACAATTCTTTTAATGTCAGTTTAGAGAATTTAGTATTGGATCAATTAATTGTCCCCAAATTGATATTTTTCTTTATTCATATCACTTATCTGGTTGATATTGGATTGATATTGTAAGGAGAAATTCTGTCTTGGTCACTCATGGGAGCTTTTTTGAAGTAACAGTAGCTACACCTTGTTACAATAAGCGCCCCTTAAATTTTATAAAATAGAAGTAACGAAGCATGTTTCAGCAGAATAAATGCTGCCTTGAGAATTGTCTGTTTTGAAAAAAGTCTCTTAAATATTTTGATTAATCAACAATAAACTATTTTACATAATGAGCAAAATATTAAATATAAAAATTGTACGTATTCCCACAGGTATGGAAACCCTATTCAATCTCTTTGCTCTTCAATGCATCCTTCATGAAGAATTCATCTTCAGTGTAAAATGTCAGTCCACAATTTGCTGCAAATTCTTTATCACTTGCTCCATGGTCTTTGGCCCGTCCAGCAGCATCACCAACAAAGAAACTCTTCTCCTTATTAACTTTCATGTCACCATTACATTTTTGACAGAAGAATTCCCACATCCCTGTGTTGGGTTTACGGTAGCAATCCTTTGATGTAGCTACAAAGATCTGAAAGGGTAGAGCTACCTGAAAAAAACAGAAATAAACAATACATTGACCATGAAGCCATGTGTCTCTGGATAAAATTAAAAGGGAGAGATGAAAGGGAAAAGTTCACTCAATGCAAGCCAAGTGGCTTTTCCAGCAAGAGCTTATTCCTGTTTCTGTAGAATGAAGGGAATGCAAGTATTGCCTCTCCCCCTGAATGGGATGGTAGTTCAGGTTACACCCCTCCCCACCCCCCTGGGTTCCCTACCAGTTTGCTACTACCCATTTATACACCAGGGTGGAGAGAGACACCTCAACAGTAAAGTTTCCTGCCCATGGAAACAACTCAGTGATCCAGTCAGGCCTTGTACACAGACCTCACCATCCCAAGATCAGGGTGTAACCATTGGGCTGGCATATCTCCTCTAGAGGAAGAAGGATTAGGCTTGATGACTAGCTGCTCCTCTCTTGACCCTCTATAGCCTAGCATGAGTGACTAGCATCTAATTTCTCCTTATATTAATACCCTTGAATAATTCAACAAGATTGTGATTCCATTCAACCTCTGTGGAGGTCCACAACACTTACTGGCTCATGCTTCTAATTTTGTTTAGAAAACAACGGAATTTAGACCCTTGGTTGGAACATGCTTATATGAAAGAAATTTGTCTTTGGGAGCTGTTAGTACCTTCTTAACAAAACCAATGAGCCTGCCTTTCTTCTCATCCATAACTTTTTGTTTTGAGGCCTTTGCTTTGCCAATAGCAGCCTGGTTAGTGAAGATTACAAGTTTATATCCATCCCTGTGAAGGGTTGTTAGTTTCTGTACACAGGAGGGGTATAGTAAGGACCAAGCATCTGGTCCATGTTTGAATAAAGATGTTTTTGCCAAAGTGCCATCAAAGTCAAAGGCTGCAATTTGTTGTGAAGGTTGGATTTTCTGTGACACATAATAAAGTAATGTTCCTTTCCACTTCCAAGTGGGGGGCAAATTGCTTTTACCATGTGACTGAGAAACATCGCTGCTTGTTATGTCCTCACCTAGAAATATAATTTTTCAATTAATCCTTTGGTCCCTGAGAGTGATTAACATCTAATTTCCCCTTACAATATCATCTCCGAATCTCTCATCAAGGTCACGCATCAGAATAAAGGAAGTGATCACCATGAAACAAAAGAAGTTCTTGATTTTTAAAATGCATACCATTCTCCTTTTCTGCACCTTAGGAAATGTATGGAGAACAGTATGGAGAATATACTTATTGATGTTAGGGTGTAAAGGGTTAAGACTAAGAAATCTGTTCAAACATGTTCCTAGAATTACAATAGTCTAGTGATATGACCCCGTCTCCTGCAGGGTTGGGGTAGGAGACGTTAATTTCCCACGCACGAGATTACTGTGTGGTGGATGTCCTCCCCTGGGGTGTGATGGGTGGTTAATATTTATTGGGGTTGAATATCAATTGGGACATCGTCCTGTTTTCTTCTCCAGTTACCGATACTATTCTGTACGTGCAACAAATTTCAATAAAGTAAAGTAAAGTAATCTTATTATATATTAACCGAATCGAGTGCAGCAATTGATGACAGAAGTTCCAAAACATTGCAAAAGATCAGAATTAAAGCATGAGAAAATACGGGAACAATTCAGCATTATACAACCCCTCTTCTACCAGAATTATAATATGGTCTGACCAGGTTTTTGACCAGGATAATCTTGACAATGTAATAAATAGCTATATTTTCGGCAAGTAACTGAGGACATTTACATTATTTTTTTGGTTGAATAGAACAATTTAAAGAAAATGTTAATTGCTAGGTATTAGGAAAATATGTCGGAAGTTTCTGAGTGATATCAAAATTTAAATAATTTGTTTCACACTGCACTGTAATTTCTTTAGAAGGAAAGACCCACAACTCGTTCGGAAAGTAATTAGAATTAATTCCTCTAATATATTTACCATACGAAACAAACATCCTGACTCACTGGAAAATCTCCTACCTTTTCTGGGTGCCCTTAAAAATCTTTTGATGCCCAACGATTTTTCATCGCTGGCATCAGCATCGACTTCCTCGATTTTTCTCTTCACAGATTTTGAACTACCCTCCATTCTGACATCCCCGTCATCGGTTAGGTATGTGGTGTATGTTGTTCAGATTCCTCTAAATATCAGGACATTACACTTCCCATACACCACCTACTTACTATAAAATAAAAACACGTGCAAACTTTCAAGATGGCGGATTGCTGTCCAACCAGTACTCTGCAATTATAAACTACTCGTCTTTCTCGTGAGAATCCACGCAATTGGATCATGTCGAGGCTTATTGTTAGGAACTTACCAAAGAACATAAAGGAAGAAAGGATCCGTTCTGTTTTTGAGGCAAAAGGAGAATTAACGGATGTCAAATTATGTTATACAAAGGATGGCAAGTTTCGACGATTTGGGTTCATTGGGTATAAAACTGAAGAAGAAGCGAAATCTGCTCTGAACCACTTTAATAAATCGTTTATAGACACCTCAAAGATATTCGTAGATGTTGCTAAAAACCTTGGAGATGAAACACTTCCACGGCCTTGGAGCAAATATTCGCAAGGCAGTTCTGCGAACGAGAGACTGAAGAAGAACCTCGAAGAAAAGAACGAGAAGTTAATAACCCAAAACCCAGAAGGCATCAAAATAGAAAATTGTGAATCGGATGGGTTAGGGAAGAAAAAAGATAAGAAAAAGAAAAAGAGAGCGAAAATTTTAGGTGATCTGGAGGATGATGTTGAATTTCAGGAATTCTTAAATGTGCATAAAAACCGTGGCTCAAAGCAAACCTGGAGCAATGATAACATAGAACGTGGAGAGCCAGAATCAAGTTTAAATCAGATATGCGAGGGAAGAGAGGAGATTTCAGTACAGAATAAGGTACGTAGCTAATGACATATATATTGGGACGGCTAAGCTGCAGAATACCCTGCCACTTATTTACATGTCATTGAATATGAATAACGTTTATTGTGTTATGCCTTGTTCTTCAAAGCTTACCGACACATGTAAATGAGGTGGGCCAAAGTGGCAAGGGTATTCCGCAGTTGCTCCTATTGGGACTAAACCAAAGATCTCCATGGCTTATTTCAGCTAATGTAGGTCACATTTGGATTGGCACAAGTCTTCCAAGACCCTCTTGCTTTTTTGCTCAGCTTGGGCCAACTTTTAAAAGAATGGATGATACTCTTCTCCAGATGAATCGTCATTCAGTCTGAAGTGTCAACTGTTTCGTTCAATTGATACACTTCTTGATGAAGGTTTTTCTTGTCATTCACATTATTTATTCTCTTAATGACTGGACAATGGTTTAACCTAACTTTGCATTTTTTCAATTTTTAGCATTCTGAGGAACAATTAAAATATGATTATTCTGATGGAAGTGAAAATGAAGATGAAGTCTATGATGTAGCAGGTAAATGTGTTTTGAAAGGAAAACCAGGCTTCGTTGACCTGCAATCTTCTTTTACCTTTCTTTGTTCTTTCTCCACAGGAAGCAAACTAAAGCAAGAGATGACCTTAGAATTGATTTACCATAGATTTTTCAGCACGAAAATAGCTGTAAATAGCAACTATTAGTTATCGATACAAACTTGGCAAGTCTATCAGTCTTAAAAAGTATCAACTGAACCCTTTCTCCACAAGGTTCTGAAAATGAATTCTGTATTTTGTCTGCTATACATTTCCAATAATTTAACCTGAAGAACTTGGCATTTGACAAAATATTGTCCCCTAGATAATAGTGTTTCTTCTTTTTACCTTTCTGCATGACAATGTATTGCTCTTTGTAGGAGATAGTTATATTTTGTGACTGTAGGGAGAGAAAGAATCAGCTAGAGTTTGTTTCATTGGAAAATCTGTGTTGTTGCAGGAGTTAAAGGAGTTACAGAGGAAGAGAATTATTCAAAACACAATGAGGAAGATGATGAGGAAGCCAAAATGGCTAAGGATTCTAAACTGTCTGATATGGATTACTTAAAATCAAAGGTTGTTTCAAACACACAGAATCCTCTCAAAACTGAGAAAGGCAAAAAATCTCAGAAGAGGAAAAGAGTTGATGGAAAGGATGAAGAGGAGAGAAATAAAGAAAACTTTGGTGAGGAATCTTTGGATACTAGAAGAAGCGAAAATGAGGAAGACAGTAATGATGGTGATGATGACAAGGATAATAATGATGGTGGTGATGATGATGATGATGGTAGTGGTGGCAGTGACACAAATAATAATGATAAGGACAGTTCAGATGCTGTTGGTAATGTAGAAAAAATCAAGACTACTAGTCCAATAGATGCTGTATTTGGAACAATAAAAATGAAAGGGTTACCCTTCAAAGCCAAAAAGAAACACATCAGAGACTTTTTTGCACCGCTGAAAGTGCTGGATATAAGAATAATTAAAAATCACCAAGGAAAGCCCACAGGCTGCGGTTTTGTAGATTTTTCAAATGAGAAGGATATTAAAGAGGCACTCAAGAGAGATCGGGATTTTATTCAGGGTAGGTACATTGAGTTGTCTAGAGTCAAAGAAGAACAGCAATTGAACCAGGAGACAGAGAAGAATAAACCTTGGATGAAGAAACTGGCAGCTCAAGGAGAAGAGGGTGAATTTGAAAGCATTGCAGAGGTGAGAGATGGTGAAGATGGTGGTTAGCTAAAAGAGAGATTACCTTCAAAAACTGAAGGGCTGGTTATTTAAACAAAGGTTAATTGTTGTTTAACAAAACTGTTTTCTAAGCCATCTTCAGTTTAGCTGAACCTTTTATTAGAACACAGATTTGTTTTAGTGAACAGTGTCAGGAGGGACAAAAGCTAATAGTGGAAGGACATTTATTTGATTAAATCAACCCTCTTATAGAGAATCCCTGAGACCCGCTGCTTGCATAAAACTGCAGTTTGGGTCAGACCTCATGTGAATAACTGGCCCTAAATCATTACATGCAATAATGTTGGATGTCTGTGTGGCAAGTTAGGGACTAAGTTTTCCCCTTTGTTTTTTTGGCCCAAAGTTTCTTTCATCTAGAAAAGTCGAGAACAATCAGTAAAAAATAACAAGATTTTGGCAAAAGAACCAGCTTTAAGTTTGTTTGAGGTGTATTTTACTGTATATCCACCCCCTCCTCTCCCTGAATAAACCAGACATTCCTAGTTACTTTCATTGGGATGTGAGAAGCTAATTTACAGTTGTGTGTACCATAGTGGACTCCAATTAACTCTTTCACTCCCAAGATATTGATATTGTATTGATATCGTAAGGAGAAATTCTGTCTTGGTCATACTCATGGAAATTAAAGGGTTGATACAGACACTTAAGGGTACATGCTCTAGAGTTTTTATTACTGGGGTGTCTTTGTCAAGCTAGGTGTCCATGGCTGCTAGTTTGTTACACTCCATAAAATGATACCATTGTATTTTGTGTTTAGTCTGGCCGTCTCTTTCTCCGCAACTTGGCCTTTAGTTGTTCAGAGGAAGACTTGCAAAACCTGTTTGACAAGTTTGGTCCTCTAACAGAGACATATCTACCCCTGGACAAGACTACAAATAAACCCATAGGAATTGGGTTTGTCACATTTGTTATGCCAGAGCATGCTGTGAAGGCTTTCAATGAACTTGATGGCAAAGTATTTCAAGGAAGACTGCTCCACATATTACCATCCAAGGCCAAGGAAACTAAAGAAGACGAAAAAACAGGTTTGTTATTTAGCAAGTGAGATAAATTAGGTGGCAAATAATTGCACCACGTCTCTGCAAACTGCTCTGTATGTACTGCTCCGAAGTTAAGGTGCTGCAGCTCGTGTCACAGTCATACACACAGAGGCACTTCCTTTTCACAGGTGCTTTGGGTGTGGGGGTGTCTGACTAATAATTTATATTACAGCGTTGGCAAGGGTACCTGATAAGGAATAGTTTTGTGGAATATCTTCACAGATGCAGCAACATCCTTCAAGTCGAAGCGTGATGCAAAAAAGAAAACTCTTAGTGGTCATGACCACAATTGGAACACATTATTTTTGGGAATGAATGCTGTTGCTGATGTGATGGCTGATCAGTATCACACCACTAAGGGCAGCATTCTAGATGATGCTTCTTCCAGAAGTCTGGCTGTACGCATGGCTCTTGGGGAGACACAAGTTGTTACAGAAACAAGGAAGTTTCTCATGTCTCAAGGTGTCAAGCTTGATGTTTTTGGACAGGTGTGTGGTTAGCATTTGAATTTTTGTTACTTGTACTCTCTTTTATTCACAAATTTTGTCTGAAAATGTTGGACATAAAAATATTTCTCTTTTTTTTTTTTTCTAACAAAGTGACTGGTTGCATCTAGATACTTGAGATAGAAGAGTTATAGAGAATTTTTTTTACAAGCTAAAATGGTTGACAATGAATCATAACAGTACCTTGAGAAAATTGTGGGGTTTAACCCTTAAACTCCCAAGATCTCGTCAGTAATTCTCCTTACTGTCTGCCATACAGTTCTTGTGATGTCAGTCTGGAGAATTTGGTATTGGATCAACTCATAATCCCCTAATTGATATTTCTGAGAAATTCTGTCTTGGTCACTCACTGGAGTCAAAGGGTTAATTTATTGGTAGTGGGAAAGTGTAAAGGGTATCAATGATTTTAAATTTCCTCATACAAAAGAAACTAGACTGAGGCTCTAGATTAAAAACCTATGTTTAAACATTTTAGACAAGTTTGTTTTTATTCTATAAAGACTCCATTTGTAAAAGATTATACTGTAAGGATAAAGTACAGATAATCTTGTTTGTTTCTTGTGTTAAATATAGCCTGCAGCAAAAAGAAGTAAGACTGTCATGTTGGTGAAAAATCTCCCTTTCAACACATCAAGTGAAGAGCTGATGAACATTTTTTCACCATTTGGAAAAGTGGCAAGGCTTGTGTTGCCACCATCAGGAATCACAGCTCTTGTAGAGTTCTTTGAGCCAAGCCTAGCAAAGAAGGCCTTTCAAAAGTTGGCATATAGTAAAGTAAGTTCATAACTAAAGCCTTTGATTGTTATTGCTTTATTGAAGAGCCCTTTTTTGTTTTACATCATTGTGAGACAGTGAGGGATATAGCCTGCATAATCAGGCATGAT